TCACACACTAATAGATAGAGTAACAGAGAAGGCTTACACATGCAGGAGCTGAGGGGAAAATGTGCTCAGGAGTACCTTAACCCTTTTAGTACCTGAGACACCCGGTGGCAGTGTTCTCCTCTTCAAGACTTGTCCCTGCGAGCTGATTCTCCCTTTCTCTGTCTTCCCCATCATATACATCATTCCTGCTCCTTGCACATTGTATTACCTGATCCAGCGCTAGTGTATTTTAGTACATTTCGCTTTTCAAAACTGTAAAGAATCCTATGTGCTCAATGGCATGTAGATTACTGACCTGGCATTTGTTGGAGTGCTTAAAGGAAACCAAAGTGTTTGTATTAAAATGGTCCTATCTGGAGACCCAGTGAACGGAGAATGAAACCCATATTAAAGATGGGCCTGTCAGTGGCCAAGTACATTTTAAAATATTTATTAGAGTCCCTTTGTGTGTCACAGTGACATCAGGATTCACCCTTTCAAAGCCCTTTGCACATTTTGTCCTTATTCTGTCTCAGTGATGTTGGTTGGCACATCATTTCAGGCCTGAAGGACATTACGTCCATAGATGTCCACCATCCCACCATCTCGTTTCATTCTTCTCTGTCTGAAATGGCAGTTTTTAGCTTACATTTAGCTTCCCTGATAGCTCAGCTGAGCTCTCCTCCTCCTTCACCAGTTCCATTTTTGTCAAGAGGACGAACACACATATTTAAACAGATTGCTTTTAAAAAACTACACATCAGCCTGATAGGTGGCCTACCATATATTCCCAGTGTTCAAAGGCTGAAACTGGAGGATCATGAGTTCAAGGCCAACCTGAGCTATATAGCAAGATTTTTGTCTCAAAAAAACCAAAAACCAAGGGTAAGGAATATAGCTCAGTTGGTAAAGCACTTGCCTGGTGTGCATGAGGTTCAATCCCCTTAGAAGAGGGAAAAAATTTAATATGTCTCTGTGCATTGGTGGTGGTGGGGTAACTCTTGCAAGATGCAGAGGTCAATGCATCTAGAGATTTTAAAGTGCAATAAAATGTTTTGAAATGTGCTGCATTTGTCTTACTTTGAAAGGCCCTACAGACTTTGTTTATTGTAGTATCTATGTGTATATGTGTGTTCATAAATAAATAAAGCTTTATAGTTGCAGGAGATAATAATACAGGTAGTAAAACCACCTGTAGTCTCATGAGCCAAAGAAAATGTTTCTGTATATAACCTTGTCTTTCTTTGCAAATGCTTGTGCATTCTAGTATTGTCATTTTTTCATGCACATTATTTGTGTCCAGCCACTATAAAATTTCACCAGGAATATCATCCTTGCACTTAGTTATCTGAGAATATGTCTGGGAGCAGAGTTTATGGCCTTGATATTTAAAAGGAAGGGATTCCTCCCTATTGTGTCCATTGGTCATGTTCCAGTCATGAACACAAAATTTGCCATTTGTTTTCTCTGAAGGGACACCTTGTTCATCAGGAACTTCAGAAACCAGGTCCCTGGCTTTTCTCACTGCATCTTTCACACTCATGGTCACACCTTGAACATATGCTTCCCTGTAAAAGTTTCCAGGGATCTCTTAGAAGTAGCATTTGCTGCTGCCTGGGTGCTAAGAGCAGATGGTGCCCACCCATGAATGCCTTTTTTCTGCTTCTTTGGGAAATTTCCCTTCTTACCTTGAGTGGACCAGATGAGCCCATTAAGACAGGTGCTGTTTGTGCCCATATGTCTCACGTGTAAAATGTGACATGATGTATAGAATACACCTCTCCTCTCCTACCACAGGGTGTACAAAGGATGTAACTGTCTAAAAAAAAGTCAGGGTAACACTTCCTCCTAGAGACCCCCTAGTACCAGGCAGCCTACAGGTGCCTCTTCCTGGACAAGAGCTGTGTGCCATGACTTCTAGGCTTGGTGAATGCTTCCCCAAAGTGACCTTTTGACTGTGTTCTGTGGCTCTCCCAGCTGTTTTCAATCCTTCTTAATAGTTTTCACTAAAAGAAATTATAAATTGTAATAAGGAAGTTTGCTCCAGCATTCATATTTATTAGATTTTAAGATTTAATGACCATGTGGGCCTAAAACAAACCTTTTGATTTCCCTTTTTCTTTTAAGGCAGTCAAGTGGAGTCTCTTGATTTTGACTGTTTAAATATTAATTTGTGGTCATAACCCAGTTTGGGCTCTTGTAAAAGGTGTGGCTTTTAAAAATGAACTCAGTTGCAGAGAGAAACCAAGGCCTCCTAGCAAAGAGGTGTTCTTATTTGTTGCAGAGGACAACTTGTGTCAGTTTAGCTAGAAGCTTTGGGACATCCTAAGGTTCGCTTTGTAGTGAAAACAGGCTTAATTGGTTACCCTGTATGATTCGGACTGTTTGGTTTTGTATAGTTAATAACGGAAGGGCTATTAACTGATTAATTTTTCTTAAGTACTACATTATTCCTTCAGTGAGATGCAGTGTGTCAGCCTTAACAGAATTCTAAATAAGGATGAATAATGTCCCTGTTACCAGTTTGGTGAAAACATTCATAGAAGGCAGAATTGTGTGTGCTTCTCACCTCTCCCCTGCTGTAGCTGCCATTCTGTGGCATGCTGTTCACACTCAGTGTTATGTTTTGGAAGTCGTCCACAGTGTTACCTATAGAGAAAGCTCATTCGTTTTAACCCATGTGGAGTGCTTTGTGGGTCGGCTACCCTATAGTTTCTCTGGTAATTTGGTGGTTTTCAGTTTTTCTTTATACCTAAATGCTGCAGTGAACATCCTTTGCTTGCTCTATGAAGGAGTGTGAGTATTCTTCTGTGACAAAGAGTGGAGAGTGCCATTATCTTACAGAAGCCATTGCCTGCCCAGATCCGAGTCTTATAAATCTAGTTGGAGATTGTATATGAAGTTCTGTGTAGGGTCAGTGCAGTACTGACCATTCAAGTTCAGTAGTACCAACTATAGTAAAACTTGGCTTCTTCCAAATAATTACGAGTTAGGGGAAATTCTGAACTTAACCATGTTACAAAGAATATATAATTTTAACCTGTGATTCATACTAATGGAACTTGATAAAAATTCCTTAAGGGGTATTATATTGACCAATAAAAGCACCTAATTCTTTTAAGCCAGTTATATCAAAATTGTTCAACTCAGACTGAAATCTATGGGCAAATCTTCCATCTAAATCTTTTCATGTGTTAATTTGCTCAGCAAAATGGTTTTTCCCTGATTGAATTCAACTAACTCTAATAATTTTCTTCCTGGACAATGTCACTTAGACAAAGGAGGTGAAAGAACAAGGCGCTGAAGCATGACCAGATCCGAGTCTTTCAAGATTTCGTGTTAATTTTCTTAACAACCTTATGAAGTGAGCCTTACTATTTTAGTTATAAAGAACTCAGAGTTTGCCTCACCTGAAAGAGTAGTATTCTTTCTACTCTGTTATTTCCTCAAATATGTTCCTGGGGTGACTCTCATCTTGGTACCAGAAACCCTGGGAAATTATGTTAGTACTGCAGGTTCCTGCTTCCCTGAGGATGGGGCCTGGGATTATGCATTTTTAGCATGGTGCGGACTGTTCCTTAAGCATTTTGAAATCTAAGAGCTCCTTTGCCAGATCACAGTGACCTCATTTTGGTGATGTGAGAAGCCTTGCCAGAGAGTGCCCCCAACTTCTCTGAGGACCAGTGATTCTTGTCATGCCTCATCGGCAGTGGGCACATTAGCGTTGCTCATCTGGGTGGCTTCCTCCCTCGCCCACTTTCATTGCCTCCTGTTATTTGTGCTGACCTAGCATGGCTCCAGGTCTGACAAGTGACTTCTCAAAGAGTTGAAATCATCACACAACATCAGAATCACTTTTCAGAACCAAGCTGAAATGTCTGTGCAGACTCATCACATCCCCAGAGTATCTTTGGCACTCTGTACAGATGGAATCTGCATCTTTCAGTCTAACCCTTGCTCAAAGAAGAAAAATAAAAAGAAGCAGCAGTTGGGGAACCGATGACTTTGCAAACACCAGCATGTGCTTGTTTTCCTTTCTCACCTCCGTTTGCCACACTTGCCTGGTGACAGATTTCCCATAAGCCTGCCCTTAACTGCTGCTCACTTTCCTAGAAGTGATGAGATCACTGGTCCCTTCCAGCTAGAGGCTTCCCATCCAGGACAGGGTCTGAGGACTGCCAGCCAGGTTCAGTGACCACCATTGTCTCCTTTGTTTTTCTCCCTTTGTTATTATCTTTTTTTCTCAGCTCTGTGAAATGTTCCTTATTATTCCCAAACAGCATGCTTTCCCCTCCAGAGCCCTGTCCAAGCTCAGTCCTTTCCAATTGCCAGGTAGAGGACTGCTTGGATGACTGACAGGTATCAAGATATGTGCTGATGATTCAGAGAGATCCTAGACCAACTTGAACTTGTGCTCATAATTCATCCTTCTCCGCTGGCAAAAGAGCATTCGTCTTTGTTTGGGCGTTGAGCTCAAAGGCATTTCCTCAGAAGGCATTTCCTCTCCTGAAATGCATAGGGGAATAAAAAGACAGAAAAGACAGAAAAGGGGAAAAAAATGTAATTTTAACCATGCTGTCCTTTGAAACTAAATATATACCCCTTCCTCTGTCCTGATTGGTCCATTTCCATTGACAAGTGGATCGTGAGGAAAGGGAATATCCTAGACTTAATTGTAAGTTAAGTCTTTCTTAATCCAGAAGAGCATTTGAGATTCTGTCCAAGTGTTCAATTTCCCAGGCCGCTGAGGTCTGTGAATTTCTTTTCCCAGCCTCCAGGCTGCTGCAGTACAAGTCAGCATAGCTAATGCAGATAGATCTCCTGCCTCTCGCTCTCCTCCTCCCTCGGCTTTGATTCGATATGAACAGCCTGGTAACTCTGATGCTGGGGAGAAATCTGACATAACTCTGCAGATGGCTAGGTGGCCATGAAACACCTGGGGATTGTTCTTTAAGAAAAAGGTAACATTTATATGCTAATGATGTTTTTCCCCCTCCCCTCCTTGTTGCATTTCTTTCCAGGGCTGCCAGTTCCTAAGAAGAGTCCAAAGTCGGTAAGGACTTGTCAGTTACTTGGTGCTTGTTGGGGGGAACAGGGAAGCGGGGAGCCCTGGCAGTGGGAAGGGACAATGTCTGGCTTCACTTCACTGAATGTTTCAGAGTGAATGGGGGACGACAGGAACCGAGGCTACTTTTTTATTAACTTCTGGGGGTGTGTTTGATATAGATGGTATTTGGGCTTATCTTTTAACTGTGTAGAGATTGATAGGCAGGATGCAAAAGCTGCTATAAAAATGCATCTTCTTTGGCGTCTTCTCCACATAAGTACAACTCCTTCAAATGGTGAGTTTCTTAGCTGTTTCAGCTTGATACAAATGCATTGTTTCCTTTGAGGGGAAGGAGGAAGGGGGAGAGAGGAGAGAGGAGAGAGAGAGAGAGAGAGAGAGAGAGAGAGAGAGAGAGAGAGAGAACGTCTTCTCCACATAAGTACAACTCCTTCAAATGGTGAGTTTCTTAGCTGTTTCAGCTTGATACAAATGCATTGTTTCCTTTGAGGGGAAGGAGGAAGGGGGAGAGAGGAGAGAGGAGAGAGAGAGAGAGAGAGAGAGAGAGAGAGAGAGAGAGGGAGAAATGGGCTCCACCTGCTCACTCTGGCATTGCTCTCAACTGGTGTTCGCTCGCAGCCGTTCACATGGCTACCCATTCTCCCTGAGCTTTCTTATGCACTGAATGGTGAATTATTCACAAAACTGAAAGCCTGTGTGTTTGAAGAATTGCTGTGCCTCTCTATGTCCATGCTCAGGTAGAACAGTATTCTCTGCCCAGCCGTGAGAGTAAGACATTTCCTTGCTAGGGAAATGTCCTTTGTTGTTTTGCTAGCTTTAGCAGCATTATGCTGCAGGTATGGGATTCTTTAAAAAAAAAAAAAAAAATCAATGTTTTGCTGTCCTTTCTAATCTGGTTTCCCTGAAGATGCATTACCTAGTTGACATGTTGGCTAATAGCTTAGAGGCTATAGTGTTTTGTTTGGTGATATGAGCTTTTGCTCCCGGGGCACTAACAACAAATTGCTACTTAAAAACTCAAAATCTGGGACTTGGTGCTTGTGAAATTGATCTGGTTGTTAGAATCTTCTCAATTCATTAATATTAGGATAAAGAAGGGGGCTTCCTATGACTCAGATTTGAGGATGGGAAAATCCATAGCTTTATGCCATCAGGAGAAGGACCATTAAAACTTTGCAGCTTCAGGCGCTGCAGCTGAATTCTTTCCACCTGTCTCCAAGCATGGCCGCACCAGGCAGAAGTTTATTAAGGAGAGGAGAGAGAGGAGTCTCCTGCATTCCAAAGCCCAGCTCCCTAGTTCTGCAAAGAGAAAATCCTGAGAATTGATGTAATTCTGATGGCACAGAGCTGTGGCAATTGGAACGTTGACTTCAGGGGCTGCTGCCCATGTCAGTTTGTGTTAATGTCCGGGCAGGAAAGTGCTGGTTGGTGCCCCACGATGCAACCACAGAGATGTCAACGTGCATGCATGTGCACATGTGTGTCTCACTATCCCTGGGTCATCATCAGAAATCCATTCAGCCTTCAGACAAATAGAATACAGCTGGAAGATGTTTCTCCTGAGCTTGAGTTAGTGTAAGCCATTTTTTTTCTCTCCCCACTGCGGCCATGCTGTGTTGATGCGTAGACTTACTTTCCACACCCCACATGGTGTGGGATCTTGACGGGGAGCCTCCACTTCACACTTGTAGCATGACACTGGAGAAGAAGGTGTTCTTTTCTGTTTCCATCTATGTAGAATAGTTTTTGTCATCTGCTCCCATCTCATTTTCCCCAAAGTGTTTGAGAATTACCCGGTGAACTCACAGAGTATCAAACAGGTACAGAGCCTATATATTCACAAAGTCACTTAAGAGAATTCTCTCTGACAGTTTATTTTTGTAGCTGCCGTGTCATTAATGAGCTGCAAGCCAATTACTTCAGCTGCATTCCTAGGAAAAAAGCTCTCCTAAGTGCTTTGCCCACAGTCTGTTGGCTCTTAATTACCACAGGATAAGAGTGTGGTATGCTGCTGGACTGGAGAACAAGCCCCCAACTTGAGGCTTGTCCTCACCTGGACCCTGTGCCAGGACAGGGATGGCAGCTTTCATGGCTTGCTGGTATACTCAGGCAGCTGCTACACATGATTCAGGCACTGTCGGCCAAGGGCTGCTTTTGGCAGGAGAGCATCGGTAACATCTGTGATCAGTGGGGACTTATACAGGTGGGTAGAAACCATTTCCCTTTCCCTGGTTTGAATTTAGATGATGTCCTGCCAGTGGGACAGATGATTATGGGATGTTTTTGGTAGGGTTGGAGGGAATCCATGGAGAAGCTGGATGTCCTGCTGCTGGTGAGCCACTCAGATAATGACAGATCGTGTCAGTTATGCAGGCTGCATAATTAAAGCACCCCCAGTGTGCCCGCATTGTGATCCGTGCAGATGCCGAAAGCTAGGTGAAGAGTGTCTGAACCAGACCCACAGCGTTTGGGTTGTCTTTCTTCACGCTTTCCCCCAGAGGTTTCTGACATGCTTGGCTTCCTCCTCTGACTGACAGAGACTCTGCACTCCCCTACTTTTTCTTTCTTTTGTAATGTTTTCAATAATTAGACAGTTGCTTTTTGATTACAGCAGAAGGACTTGGCATTTTAATCTTGTTTCACCTCCTAGATTGTCCCCATAGCATCCTCTAAATAAGTAATCTCACTAACTAGATTTAAACGTTAAATTTGTGGCTTATCTACTCTTAGGGGACAATAGTGGTCTTTTAATAAAATTTTATTAATTTAATACCCGGACTTCTATAACTTTAGGGACTTTTCTACCACTAGGCAAAGACAAAAATAAGATATTTGCTATCAGGTTTTAGACTTCTCTGGAAAACTTGTTCTGTGATCCAACTTAATCACCCCAACTAGAAACTTAACTTCAACTGTCAGTCTAAACCACATGCAGAGATCTTATGTATAACAATTTTTAAACTCTAAGTTTCATGCCAGTCTCTGAACTTTTAAGTCCTAGCTACCTGTGTTCTTGCTAGCTTATCCCACCTCCTTTCTCCTTTTCTCAATCCGTGCTTCACCTGTCCTGTTGTCAGTCCATACAGTCATCTTCCATCCACTTACTCAACTACCTATTCATCCCTTTATTCAGAAAATGGGTGTTAAAGACCTAGCAGATGTGGAGGACTGACTGTCTTCTAGGCACTAAAACCAGTGCAGAACTGAAACAGAAAGTATTCCTGCCTTCCTGGAAATGAGAAGTAAGAAATAGAAACCATATCAACAGTCAGACTTGTCTGACTCCCCTCATGGGAACCAAAGTCTGGTGAGCATAAACTTTGAGAGCAAGTAAAGGAGAAATATAATCAAGGACCAAGTACATACATAATACAAATCATTCAGTTGTCAGTTACAATGGCCTAAGTTAAGTAGTCATGCAAATCCCAGACCCAAGGTTGAGGAACCTTCTGTGATTGAACTATGGAATTATTTAGAGTTCCCTGGCAGCCCAAGCAGCATAAGAAACTGCACTATTTTGTAGTTGTTATTGTCAGATTAAAGAACACATACTATGTTTGCTAAGGAGACAAATCCACCCAGCTACTGAATTAGAACTCCTTACCCACAGAGAAGTGACAAGTGAAGAAGACATAGTAGAAAGTCTCTCTTCCCCTGTTCCGGGTCCCTTTTACTTGCAAGAGATGCTAAAGGAAGTGTCAGGGAACTCGCCCTCAAGACCTGGATGATATTCATTGAGCATCTCCCACCTGAGTCACTCCATGCCATGGGCCCTGTCTTCTCACACTTAGCTCCTCATTTTCACCTTTCCTCCTAGTCTTCAAAGCCAGCACACTCCTAGATCCCATCAAAGTTTCCACAGGCCTTAAGTAGAAACAGTGAGAATAGTAGATGGAGAAAGGGATCCTTTATTCCAACACTTGTCTTGCAGCCTCTCGCCTCAATGGACAGCACACTGGAGCCCCTAGAAACCAGACTTTCCATTTTAAGAAATTTCTTACATTTGATGGGAACCAAATTTCATTTTCTTATCCAATCTGTGTTTTCCTCCTCTTCTCCATTAACTGCCTTCACCTGTCTTTTGGGAAGAAATTGTTTGACTTAGAGACCAATAATGATAAATGGGAGAGACAGTAAGAAGGACCATCCTATGCTTTGACTTGGACCTGGGTGCCTGATTCTCACAAGCCTCCAATGACATCGGCCTCGTGTCATACCTCAGCGGGGTGTGGACCTGTTCCTATTGTCCATACAAATCGCTGCAGTGGCCTTGGGTCTTGGCAGATACGTGAACTATAAATAATTTTGTCATTTTTAAGCTACATGAATTCTTTTCATCATCTAAGCTCCTAAGTGCTGTCTGTGTTCATTTGCTCTTCCAAGCAACTATTTTCAGTTCACTTTATAAGAACCTGCATTTCTAAATCATTCTGTGAAATACTGATGAGATAAAATTTTTCCCATTTCCATTTATAAAAACTGTTGCATCTTCCAATTTTCCTGACCTGACAGTAAGTAGTACGAGAATCATTCATTTTAGGGAGACGGGTACAATTTCATTTTAAAAGGTTTTGTGATACAAGTTCACAGCCAGTGTATGGCCAAGGACCCTTAGGGGGAAGTTTTATATTTAAGCCCATTTCTCTCTCCAAGTTGGCTGTGATTTGAGAATCCAAAATGAAATTCTTGCTTCAAAAATATCAACCTAGGCTGAGTGTGGTGCATGCCTGTAATCCCAGCATTTGAGATGTGGAGGCAGGAGGATCTCTGTGAGTTCAAGTTCAGTCTGATCTATGTAATGAAACCATGTCTCAAGAACAAACAAAAGTCTGCTTAGTGACAACAGTTAGAATTGATGATTTCTGTCTCAGTTTATGACCCCCTTTCCAACCATTAATACAAGCTCGAGGGGTTGGGAGGTGAGTACATTTTTCTAAGCTATCTTCTCTCCCACTGAACCTATCAGCAGTGCCTCTCCTTCATCACCT